AATTATGTCCTCTAGGGGACGTGGATGTAAAGGGACGTAAATTTTATATGCTAAATACTTTAGGGACCCATCTTTAGCTATATATACTATTTAAGTTATAAAAAAAATACTATTTTTGTTAAAATAGATAAATATATATGTTTTTATAGAGAAAAATGCTTTGATGAAAAGAAGTAATTAAAGATAAATAAGATAATAGAAAATATTCTAGAGCAAAGATAGCATAAAAAGTACAGTATTTGGAAATAGTAGATCAGTTATACAAAGATTATTCTAAAATAGAAGATATTTTAAGGATAAATACTACTAAAATTGAACAAGGGATAGTAAAGATCTAAGGTTAAAATCAGGTATAATATTATATAATAATAACTTAATATATATATTTTTTATAATTTAATTATTATATAACATAAACAAAATAATAGTTTTAATATAAAAATCACAAAATTATATACAAATTTTTAGATTTATTAGTAAATATTTTATAAATAAAAATATATTTAATTATAGTATAATAATTTTATTATAATATTGATTATAAAATTTTTCTAATTTTTTAATTAATTTTAGCAGCTATTTTAATAAAGAGATATGAAATCTAAATTCATCTTTCTCTTTTCATACAATTGCTTTAGTATATTTATAATAAAAATATAAAACTTGCTTAGGACAAGTTATATAACTATAAATATTTTATAATTTCAAGCTTTACTTATTAATATTTCAAGTTCTTTCAACTTTATTATCAGTAATATTATGTTTATATTTAATTTAAATATAAAGTTTTAAACTTATATACAGATAAAGTAGTTATTAAAATACTTATTATAATAGGAATTGATTCTATTTCTTATATCAAAATCCAATATTTGATATTTCTTGAGATTAAAATATAATATCTTTATTAATTTCATTAATATTAGTTTTATTATTTACCTTAGAGTTAATTTCAATATTAGTTTAATAGTTTAGTAATTTTATTATATTTTAAAGAGATATTTTTAAAGGGCTTGATATATGTCAAGATCCTAATATCAAATTATATATTATTATTGATTTTTTTTATTGAATTTATATTTTTTATATAAAAATATTAACTATTATGTGAGATATAATTTTTGTTAAGAAATATTTATATTTTTTATTGCAAATAAGCTCTTATTTAAAAACTCAAAAATCTTTAAGATAGCTTATATAATGGGATGGGGTTTCTAATCAAAGTTTATTCAAATTTGAAAGTTTTGTTTATCTTTTAATTGTATAAGATTAACAAAGTTTTATTTATAATATATTTAAAAGTTTTGCTTGTTTTTTTTTTTAAATAAAATTATTAGATTCTTTTTATTTAATCAAATCCTTTAATTATTTTTCTATTAATATGTAATATTGTATTATTTTAAAATTTATAAAATTTTAATTAATACAAAAAATCAAAATTTGATTCATCTTTTCAAACAATTATATAATTAAAAATATTAATTAAACTTAATAACTTATTATAACAATAATCAAATTGATTCAAACTTGTTTATAATAATAACAATGATATTATATAATAATAACTTAATAAATAAATTAATCAAAACATTCTTATTAACAACAACATTACATTTATATAAAATATCAAGTTTTTTTCATATACTTTATTTTAATTTAATAATATGTTTAATAAATAATAATAAAAACAGATTTATAAAATATAATGAAATAAAATTATAAAATTTTTTTACTTCGGTTGTAATATTATTTTTTAATTTTATATATTGTGATATACTATAATTAATTTAAAATAATTTATATAAAAGATTGTTAATATAATATTGATAAATTAAAGTTAATAAATATTTTATATTCAACGTCTATTTGTAATTATACAGTATATAAAAAATAGCAAAGATTAAAAAATTTTTTTTAATTATTACTTTGGATAAAATGCAGTATATAGGTGACATGCATCGATAGTGTCACCTACAGTATACTGTATTTTAACCATTACTTTTTGAAAACCAATAAATAATATTTTAACCATTTTTAACCATTATTATGAAATGATGTTTTTTGTTATATTATTAGTTGATTATAGCATATTATTATTATTATAACTAAAAAATCGATTTTCAAATTCAAATTACCAAATAGGAATAAAATATTTTTTAAATCTCTATTCAATTAACATCATCAATTTTTTAAATCATATTGAGATGGTAATAATCAACAGAATAGTTATCTGGGGTGGATCTTTATTCATGATAATTTTTTTGTGTAAAGATGATTATAGATTTTTTTTTTATTTTTTTTGGGAAAAAAATATTATTTCCCTCTAATCAGGGGTTAATCTATAATATATTGAAGCATCTGGCATTCGTAAAAAATTTTCCAAATCTATAATAAATAACGAACGAATGGATAAACCAATAATTGAAAATGAAAATAGAATAGAATAGAATAAATAAATAAATAAATACTGTACATGCGATGCGCTATATAGTATACTGCAACAAAAAATAAATGTACATACAGTATGTTGATTTTTTATCATAACAAAAGTCGAGTACGTATCAAAATCAACAAAGGCGTTACCCTTTTCTATTGACCTAATTAAAAAGAAAAAGAAGAAAAAAAAAAAGAAGGAAATTTCTTCGACGAATTCGATTGCAAAGCACACCTACTGTAGATAAGCGTAATCTATTGTTACCCAGCATACATTATGATATTTGCGCATCACGGAAAAATAGAGATTTACCGATGTTACACAATCTGTTAAAGCACAAGGCAATTTTTTTCTTATCCGCAAAAGGATAAAGTCGCTCTTGAGATAGAAATCAAGACCAATAAATTACCTATGTCTTGCCGTCATTGAAACATTTCTTCGGTCAACCATGTTGATATTTCATTGAATGATGCTTGATGAAGAGTGGTTGGTTGTTGCATTCTGGCTGGTCGGTAATGGGGAGGACCAGAAATGTGTACATTGTTAAACGAATGCTACTCCTTGACCCCTACATGAATGGGGAAGTCTTGTATCCCTTCCAACATATTGGAACTCAACTACTCAAATTTTTTTCCAAAGTATTGGAACTCTCTTGCGAGAAACGAAACTTTGAATTTTATAACTTATCGACGAAAAAATAAAAAATATAAACCAAAATAAAATTTTCGTATTTCAGCAAGAATATACAGTATGTGACTACTATTTAAAAAATTACAGTATGTTTTTTCAAACATATTAGACAAATTCCAAGAAGATGTTCTCTGGGTCTTTCACCGATTATCCAACATAATAATGAGCATAGTTGACCATGTTTGGCTATAGCTAAACGATTTAAGCACGTTCTCGGGTTTTAGCTCTCCCCCAAAATTCTATTTGGTTCATCAAGAAGTTGGCGCACAAAGTAACGTATTGGTAAATGGCCCCTGAATCACCGGACCTGGATTTTCCGATTGACAATATAATTGATCCTTTTTTTTAAGTTTTCGCATTCAAGATAAATTAGGTTTAACGTTTGAAATTCTTAAATAATCACATATACTATATTTGGTCAATGCATGTTTATTTGTTGACCCTAGAAAGAAAAGATTTACGCTTTGTTTTTCGACTCCAGAAAAAAAAATTGATACGTGAACTCAACCAAGTCGTACCCGACCAGACCAGACCACATTTTTAATTGCTGTAAATCTCAATTATAAATTTCACACAATCAGTGGAAATGATAGAGGTAATGAGGTACAAAGTTGGAACACGCTCTTGTCAAGGTGATTGCAATTGGTTAAGCGCGTGGAACCTATTACATTAGTTACAAAGAAAAAGGCAAAACTTACATAATTGTCTAATAAGAATTCTTTTAAAAAAGAAAAAAAATAAAGAAAAGGGGGAAAACATAAAATTTGATATATTATTGCTATAATTAAAAATTCTCGTTACATGTCCATTCTAGTAACCTCTTGGTAATCATTAACTAGTCAACTTTGACATTTTTGTTAACCTGTAACAATTTTTTCATGTCAACAACATCGTTGCCACCTGAACTAGGAGACATAAAGGAAAAAAATGTATATTGCATATGCTATCGTTATTGTCGTGTACGACAATTCTTATCATAATCAAAGTAATGTCTTACGTACGGATAAATGAGATTTAGGTAACCATCCAATAAGAACAATTTGGAATCTCTTTAGACAGGAATTGACCGATATCATTCTTATAAAAAAATGTCGATAACAAAAAAAAAAAAGAAAGAAAGAAAGAAAGAAAGAAAGAAAAGAAATACCAACTATGTTAGATGTCTTTGTTTCATTTACCGTTATGCTTAGTTTAAATATCCATATCTCTTACTGAATGTTGTCCTTCTTCAGACCTCTCGTTGGTAATTTGGGAGATCCAATGTCTTAACGTAATTTTTTGATGGTCTTTTAATAATTTATAAATAATTGCTTCGTGTTGGAGAGAAATTTCCATGCTTAATTTACAAACATAAATGTCCCAATCCGGATATAGTATACGCGGTATTGGTTTAGATGTGATGATCCCAGAGAGACGAAGCAGATTGCTCATTTCAAATTCCGATATCTCGCAAGGCAATGATCCGTCATAGGCAACTCCTACGCAGAAATCGGTACATCATGTATGATATTTTAGAAGAATGTAAGTTATAACGCATTGAAGAGTGAGGGAATGAAATAAAAATATACCATGATTAAAGACTTTATAAACATGCCCTAGGAATGTATGGGAAACAAATTCGCCCACAACATAATTTCTATTTAGATTAATTCTCCTGTTAACAATGACCTCAGCGATCATCTTTGAAAAATCCGATTTTACCGATACGTTTATAAATATGAACTGTTTCGGACTATGAAATGCTGTGGTAACAGCAGAAATGTCATTCTTTAAAATTTCGTCGGAAAATATTCCAACTTGAAATAAAATCCACTGCGTCCTCTCTACAGAAGACGGAAAGCGAGAAATTTGTCGTGATGTGGAGGATGGAGTTGAAGTGTAAGGAATTTGATGAGATGTGGACGAATGTACGTGGTGAGGTGCTTGAAAGGTCGTACAGTGAGATTTATAATCCAACAATATTTGATGGAGTTGTGTCCTTGGGCACGCCTGATTGCGCACCAGATTTTCCCTAACAAATATACGTGTAAATAAAATTTCGTGACGGAAGGATAATTCAATGATACGTTGAACTTACCTCTCCATTCCCGAATCCCATGCAACGAACAAGGCCACCCCTTTTCGAACGCAAGCAGAAAATAATTTTTCTTGTTTCTCGAATTCATGATATAGCATACTTATTACTATTACGGCGTCTACACGCGGAAAATTCACAAGTGTTTAGCAACAAATCAGGGTAATGAACGATCAACGAATACGAGAGTTTACTGTAACTTTTAATTACTTGCTATAGTCATCTCGTAATCTTCAATATCTTTCCAGATACCTCTTATTATATTTACGCCTACAGATTCCTCGATATACTGTTGAATTCATTGGTGTTACTTGCTGCCTGATTACAATGTCGAATAGCAAGGTTTTATTCCAAAAAATTCTACTTACTTGCGTTTGTTGAGCAGAAATCAAAAGATGTATTCTACGAGAACCTTTATCCCGTAGACTTGAGACTATTAAGCTTATTAGTTGAATATCGTCGTTACAGACAAGATAAATATCTGTGTTCGATATGTCTACAGTGGTCATAGTGAAAATGAACGTTTGAAATAGAGGGAAAGATAAAGTTGCGATAAAATACCGCGGTTGTTTTGATAAATGAAATTGCTCGAGTGAAATTTCTGTCCTCGACCTTCATCTCAAAAGCGTCGTTTTATAGGATAAATTATAATATCGACAGTTTTCCATCTATAGAAACTCCACCGTTTAAACGGATCAATAATGTAACAATAATCAATTCTACTATCTCAATCGGAATCTTCAAATTGTGAGAATCACTTTGGAAAAACTCGAACCCATGCATTTTGTTATCTACCTTGTTCTTCCAAAAAAAGTACATAGAAAAATTATTGTGCATCATATAATTTTATCTTGCGCACGTGATGATTGACACAAATTTGGAAACAATGACGTTTCCGCTTGCTCCGCCTGTGACATTCCTAGTGGCTATTAATTTCCCCAACGGAGTTTTCGGAAAATAATGGACCACAATTTGAGTTTTCACGGTAAATCCAACATTTAATTTATGGTACCACGTGCACTGCAAGGATTATGCACATTACGTAAAATCATGGCATGTGACATTTATGCATAGCTTAAATTCAAAAAAACAAAATCTTATAGTTTACTGAAGGATCGCCCACAATCATTTGTCGAGGGCTTCTGACTATTTATTTAAGTATATCATTTTATTCTCCATAAGTAATGATAAAGTAATTGATGGGAACTATAGGAAATTCGAACAATAAATTGCCTTTCGTGCCAATGACAAAAAAAAATAAATTCTGTTTACTGGCGGTTGCTTGTTGTAATATTGCGATCTATGCATTGAAGATATATTTAGGCAAGGTATTTGGTGGGAAGAAATTGTCGTCGGAGAAGACATTAAAAAATAAAGGCTTTTGTAATGATTGATGGGGATTTGTCGGTGATAATTCCGTGATTCAATATTGAGAATTCGAGCCTTAGCCTTCCGCGTGCAGTTCATTCAAGTCGAAAAAAAGAAAAATCGGTCTACGCATGCTCCCTCGGAAAAAAAGAAATCGAACAATAAATTGGTTCATTAGTGCTTGCAATCTACAACATATTCTCCTGATAAAAAAAATAATAATAACAATAAATACGAAATGCCACAATCTAGTCAATTAATTTCAATCGGAAAATGCTGCTAATTTATTTGTTCCTCCCAATCTCCCAATATACAGTAATTCCTGCATCCTCGAATACGTAAAATAGCAACACAATAAGAATTGCTTATAATGGATTCTAGCTTCGCACAATTTCTATTATTTCGATATATTGTTTCCTGCAAAAATCACTTCAATACAATTGTTTCAATTTATTCATACGCTGTCGTACTGCGAAAACCGTTAACCATGCGGTTATCTGTCATCAATAAAAATTTGACCTCCTTTTAAAAAAAGGATGATTCTTTTTCCGTAAAATTGACTCTAGGAATGTATAGACTAAATGTTGCTATCAATTATGCCAAAATCGACGGTCGCATCGCATCACGATCTATCTCATCGATTTTGGGTGTAATCGATTGTTGATTTTAAAATTAAATAAATTAAAAATAGAATCACACCTGAATCAATTGTAACATTCTTATTTTTTCCATTTGCAATACATATACTGTATATTTTAAAAATACGCAACATATGCATTCTCACATATTTCGGGAAAAATGGTATGCAAGATTACTCGATAAAAAAATTTTGAAATTTACACATTCATTGTCAACGAAAACCGGAAAATACAATAATCCTAAGCAAAAATCACAATAAATGAAAATAATATGAAATCAATGAACAAATATAATTTATTTTGATTGGATTGGATTGGATAAACAAGTGAAGAGAAAAAAATTGGATACTGTAAAATCAGTATATTTTATAATTATTGCAGTATATTTTGTTTTTTTTTGTTAAATTGAATTTTTTTTTTTTTAATAAAAAATTTTTCATTCGAATTATTTTTATCTTTTGATCAAACCACTCGAACTAAATAAAACTAAAAAGAAAAAAAATGAATCTCAAAATTATATTTATTTTTAATCAAATAAAATTCTATCTTTTCGATTTATTAACTAAAAAAAATATTTTTAATTTAATTTTATTTTAAATGATTTTTTTTATTTTATAATATTTTAACTTCACATTTTTTGAAATTTTTATAAAAAATCTTTTTATTTTAGCTTTTTAATTTCAATTTATGCTTTATTTATCATAAAATAAATTGGTATTTTTTTAAATAAGAAAAAAGATTTAAAAAATTTAAATAAAAAATTTAAAATTATTTTTCAAATAAATAAATTAATAAATATAAATCTTAAATCTTTTTTTTTTATTCAAGACATATCTGTTAAATTAATAAATTTAACCTATTGGAATAAAGTTTGATTATATTTTATAATATTTTTTTATAGTAAAAAAACATTGAATACAAAACTTTATTAATGTACTGTATATACAGTATATGATATACAGATTACTTATTATTATTATTATTTTTACAATGTGAATAAAATGCATGATTTTATTAATATTTATTTATAATAAATATATCAACAATCTTTATATGAAATTAAATTAATTGTAATCTATTGCAATTAAATTAATACTGCTAATTATATATTGCATGAATAGGTTAACACTATTAATATTGAATTACTTATGCTTATTCAAAACAAAAATATTGTTATAATAGTAAATATGATTTTGTTAATATTTAAATGAATTGTTTTTAAAATATTTATAATTATATTAAAGATGTTTTCATTTGTTTGCAATAGTAAAATAAATATTTTGATTTTTTTTTTATTTTATTTCAGTAAAAAGAAAAGTAATAATAGTTTCAAATCTTTATTTTCAGACTTTATATAATATTTTTAATAATTTATTGGAAATATTCTCTTTGTTTTTTCTAATGTTATCAAATAGATATGAATAATTGCCCAATATTATTTGAAAGATAAAAAGTCTAATTAGAAAACTTGTATCAATAAATTTAAATATATTATGTTTGTGAAGATATTATTGAATTAATTGGATTAAATCAGATCAATAAGCTTTGATTTTTTTTTTATTAAAATATTTGTTACTATATAAACAATGCAAAATGTAATCAAATGTTTTTCTTCAATATTATAATAAAAGCAAAAATTAATTGAATAAAATATTGAATATCTCTTGTACAATTTTAATTTTGTAAAAAGTTGATTTGCTATAAGTTTTATATAGAATATAAAAGAATATTTATATTTAATCTGATTAGTTTTATATAAAATATAAAAAAATATCTATATTTGATTTAATTAGTTTTACATAAAAAAATATTTATATTTGATTTAATTAGTTTTACATAAAAAAATATTTATATTTGATTTAATAAGTTTTTTTGAGTTTTTTGTTTGCTTTAATAATATTTTTAAACTGGTTAAAAGATTCAAATTTGTAAAAAACAAAATAATTAAATATAAAATTAAAAAGATTTATACTGTATATAAGTTAACAGATTTAATTCAATAAATTATAATAGTTTGTATTAGCATAACTAATAAGTGGTAATGTAAAAAAATATTGAAATAATACAATTGAAAAAGATTGGTTTAATATTATATTGTAAATTGTTTTGACTATTATTTTTATTTTAGGTAATATTGAAATTTTTAAAGCTAACAATTCTAATAATATAGATAATATATCACAAAAAGAATATTTTAACTTGTCTATTAATATAATCTGGAATATAAAAATTTAATAAAAAAAGTACTTTACAAATTATATAAAATCTTAGAGCTAATAAAAGAATAGTTTGAATTAAAATTGATTAAAATTTAATCCATATATTGAGATTATTTATATAAGATTAAAGAAAAAAGTATATTTTGATATCTATTGCTATACTTAATTTTTATTAAAAATTTATATTACTTCTTATTAAATTTTTATTAACATTTACTCTTAAAATATTACATATTATAGAATAATCTTTATATCACTAATTTATTATTTTCACATATTACTTTTTATATTATTCTTGCTTTAAAATATTTTTTATTTATTTTATTTATCTTTAATTACTTACCTTTATCAAAACATTTCTCTTTATAAAAATAAATATAGTCAACTATTCTGATAAAAATATTATTTTTTTTATAACTTAAATAGTATACTATATATTTATAATATACTCAAATTATATATTAAAAACATATATATAAACAAAAAACCAGTAGATCAATAGTATAATGGATAGTGCTTCCTAGTTTTTAAATACATGTTTCTAGTTCAATACCTAAAGGAGACAAAACACATAAAAATTTATTCTTTATTTGTAGGCTTATTGGTTTTCCTACAAATGTTATACTTCAAACATTTGAATCTTAATCAAATTTGGTTAGGCTGCATGAAGATGGCCCTCTGGTCTTTCTAACAATCGTAAGCTAAAAATAGGTCAAAGCAGTATCACTGCTATTAGCAAATCTATTGCTAATAAAAGCTAAGATTTGTGTAATAATAATAAGAATTTATGATTAAAGGTAAAACAGAATTAATTATAGTCAAAAAATCAATTTTTTTTTAATTGTTAACAAATGTTATTCATTTTTCTTTCTTTACAATACAGTTCTTTTATACAATAAGTTCAGTAATTACATAAGATTCTACAATAAAAAATAAAATAAACAAAAAAAAATAAAAAAAAAAAGTAAAATATTAAATCACGATAAAGCTATTATATAACATATTATCATTTTTTTTAAAACTCTTTTCACTGATCCCCTTGCCAACCCAAAAAACAGACATTCTCAAAAAATATTTTTTATTTTTTGATAATAAAGTCTACACACTTTCCTTAAAAACATTACCCTCTGAAGGCAGGTGCCTCCCCTACTTGTTTACTCTTCCTTCTTCGAAAAACTTTGGATATTTCAGCAACAAATAAACAAAACTTTATCCATTTGGTCTATGGCAAGAACACCTTACTGGAAAGAAGAAACTTGTAGAAAAATACCCTCCACTATTTTC